TTCCAGAGATGTACCCAATAGAAAAAGTAATCAGTATCTAATTTAATATCCATAAGTATTTTCCTTAGATTTTAGTCGAAGACATTGGGTTCTGTGGACGTCACCTTGCTTCACCATAATTTACCACTAGGTGTCACTGTGGCTCTGCACCAGGCTTGTCTGGTAACAAAGAAGGGCAGTATCTCCTCTGGAGGAGCTGCTTCCAGGGCAGTGGGCAGGCCCATAGGCTCAAGAGAGTTCAGGAGGGAGAGAACAAAGGTCTGGAATGAGGTCTTCACACATCTGCGCCTGTTGTGGCAAGATGAGCTCTTTGAACACTACCTGCTGTGCACCTGTAGCCAGGCAGAGGCTGGCAGAAGGTTGTCTCGAACTCCCTTGCTCTGGTGGGTGGGTAGGTATGTAGGAGACCTTTTGCACCATGAGCACCCATATCAGTTCCTCTTGGCCTCCAACTTTTATAACTCCAGAGGTGTCACAGTGGGATGGTTTGATTCAAAGATAGTTATTTTTCTATTGCAGAAATGCCTTGGACATAATCAGTTGCTCGCTGAATCTTTGCCACAAAATGGAACAGGCTCCCCTGGGGGGCAGGATGTGCCTACCCCTGTCCCAGCCTCACCCGCCCTGCCTGCCTATCCCTGGGCTGCCCACTTCTCAAGCTAACCTGCAACGGCAGCCTGCTGCTGCTTCCACACCGAGGCCTGAGCTGCCCCGGTGCACGTGCATTGGGAGGTGTGGCTTTTTCTCCTTTTCTTCTAGGAATTCCAGACTGACCATCTACTATGACTAACAACAATGAACAAAGGGCTTAGGGGTAAGAGCTACCTACAAAGACGTGTCATGGAAACCTTCACCATGCAATGCCTTGAACTCAGCTCTGGCTTCTCCCAAGAAAAGGTGGCTGGCTGGGGGCCTGGACACAAGCACAATGGGGCTGATGGAGCCATGTGCAGAGCTACTTGAATAACCACTGGGTCTTCATCAACTCCTTTTATAACACAGACCTCTCAAGGGCTGAAGTGTTGGTAACCTGCATTTCGGTGTCCAATGCCTCACAGCAGCTGAACCACCCTGAGATGCTGTGGCCACACAGTGGCCACAGTCAGAGCTTTGAAAGTCAGTACCAAATGAACGCATAATTGGACACCAAAAATCAAGTGTTACTTTCATGTTTTCTCACCCATATCATCTCATCTTCCTGCTGACTGTGAAATCCCCACTAAGCTGACCTGTCTGGTTTTAGCTGGATGCATACAGGTGCAGGCCAGTATCATTTTTGTTTCTTCAGACAGACCTACTCTGTGGAAAGGAGGGAGCCGAGCTACTTTGTTTTTGTAGCACTTGTTGGCTGGATTTTTCTTTTGCCTAATTACTAACCAGAACATCTGGTTAGGGGGACTCAACTCAATCCCTTCTGTCCCCAAGACCAGTTAATTCTGAAAAATTCAGTACTTGAATGCACCTGCCTTATTGTGTATCAATTTAACTGGGGAAAAAAAAAAAAAGAAAAATGCTGGCTCCAGATCTCCACTCACAGGTTATTTTGGAAATCTGTAAATTACCCTTCCTGTTCTGGTTTGTTTCTTTGTTTTGTTCTGTTTCTTTGGCTGATGGCTGCTGAGTGGGGCCCGTTCCTCGTCAGGCTCAGGGCAGGTGCCATTCTCAGGCATGGCCTCCCTTCCATGTACCACAGCATCTTTGTCTCTGTTCTGTCTCCTCCAAATCCAAGATGATTTTAATTAGTACAGACATGTACAGTCAACAATTAAAGAGTGATTTGTACTAATATGATTTTGATTCTTCTTCCTCTTTGCTGTCCTTTCAAGACACTTGCTGGAAAAAGCTTTAATGCACTTAGTTTTCCTTTAGGTTTTCTATAACTCAGATGTAAAGGACTTTCTCTGTACAGTATATTATCCAATGCATGTTTGTTCTCTATCCTGATATATTGAACACCACACAGTTGTGAACTCGTGCCGTGGGGATGTCCCACACCCAACAGAGGCATCTAGCCCCCTGTGTATAAGGAAAGACATTTTCCTTTGCTGTACTTGCTTGAGCAGTTTTATTGTCTGTACATGTGAGCTGTGTGAGATAGATGTGAAAAGTTAAATGAATGCATTTTCCTGCCCATGTATACAGATCGCCATCTGTACAATGAACTGTATGTATGAAAGCAAATGTACTTATTTATAAATGGGTAACACTTGGAAAAACATGGTGGTGTGGTGCTTTCTCCTTCTGTTACAACACTCCGAAGGGAGCTAACTCAGGCTCACCCTCACGAGGCCTGCGGTGCCCAGGAAGCTCCCCCAAGGATGACTTTGGCAGGTTAAAGTGAAGGCCAAATATGTGATGATTTGGTTGGTCTCTTGTGGGACCTTCAGAATCACCCTTTCGGGTTTTATCCACTCATTGAAGTGATTGAGCACCTCCTCGGAGCTGGACACTGTTGATAGGCATTCAACTAGAAAACAGCCTGGGGCCTGCCAGCAGAGGCTCACTGCATTTGTTGAGAAAGGGAGGCTTTTTCTTCAACGGAAGAGTTCTTCTCCAGCCATATACCAAGAGAGCGCTGACTTGTTCCACTTGAATAGCTGAGGCTGCACCCAATCCAGCTACCATACCAAAACCCAAAGCTGAAGAGGACTGTCAGAGCTATTAAGTTTAGAGACAGTGCCTAAACTCGGGCCGGGGGGAGGGGGTCAGCCATAGCTGTAGTTCCCAAGGCTAACTTGGTCAACGCTGGAAGCCCGCTGCTTCCAGTGGCTTTATATTTTCTTCATAAATCTGGCCGGAAATTCCAGTCCTTACTATGTAGAGAGCTAGGCAGCTGCATTGTGAATGAAGAGGTTGCAGATTTCCTGAAACTAGCTGGAGACTCCATACTCTTCTTAAACTGGCCAGCACCAGGTTCTGCAACCTTTCCTGCCTCACTGCCATCTCTCTGTCTACTTCAGGGACAAGCAAGGAAGGAGACCACTTCCTCTAGACACCAGATTGTGCTGAACAAACATACCTGCTGGGTAACTCCATTTCCCCCCAAACGACCGAGGCTGGGGAGGCAGGAAAGCTCCAGGCCTGCACAGTCATCCCAGCCAGGACGCCAGGACTATTCACAGGGAGATGACTCGGGAAGGAATCATCTGCTCAGACTGAGAGCCATTCCTGGGCGGCTCCAGTTAGCTCATTAAAAATCAAAAATGGGTAAGTGGTTGGAAAAAAACAAAAAGCTTTTTAAGGATTCCTGGGACATTGGAAGAAAGGTGAAAAGTAGTGATTCCTAAAAAGCTAATTCTTAAAAAGGAATTTGCCCTGAACCTGATGGAAAAAACCACTCAGAGAAGAGCAGCAAATGGCAAACTCAGCAAATTCTTTGTCAAATCCCCAAGTCCTGAATCAGACTGTCTTCCTGTGATTTCCATTCCCTGACAGGTGCCCTTGTAGCTCGATGCACCACTGTGCGCGTGTGCACAGGGTACGCCAGACCCCCTTCCAGACGCAGAGACAGGCAGCGCGCAGTGTCACCCTCTTTCGGCTTTAAAAATGGAAGCGGGAGGCGCATGGAGAAATTTGGAAATTGAGTCCTCCTGTTCCCAGGAACAAGGAGCAAGGCATTCATAATAAGGGTACTGTACCCAGAAGGCCCTATGGGAGAAGCGAAGGCCCTCGGAAGAGACAGTGCCGAGGCCACTGTCACGGGTCATTCTCTTGAGATGCCGTTACATCCCTGACACTGTGATAAGAGACTTCGTACGTGGTCTCTAATGTTTTCCTCACATAACCTCTGACGGACAACATTGTTCTCTCCAAAACACAAAGGAAGCAGATCCTGAGAGCTTAAACTGCTCAACACAGGCACATGTGGGACTCTGGATCAGACCTGCCGTGGCCATTTTTCCCTGGGCCACGCTGCCCCCTTCCTCAGAAAAGGAAGCGACCTGAACAACAGCAGAAGCGGCGCAGGCCGCGCGTCAAGAAGGAAGCCTGGAAAGCGCTACTTCACGCTCCTTTGGAGAAACAACTCAGCCAAGGTTGAGAGGAATAACTTTGGCACCTCAGGGGTCCCAAACCCAGTAAGAAGTTGTGGTCCCTCCTGAGGAGGTGAACAAGTAGCACTCTGGAGGGAGAGGCATCATCCTGCCTGGGAGCATTTGAACGTTCACCAACAAGAACCCCTTAAGATTCAGAGGCTGGCGCAAAGGCCAGAGGTGACACGCCACACTCAAGGCCAGGACGCCTCTGCCTTCACCTGAGAGCCAGCAGCCCTGCCCTTGACTGAGCAGACTGTGACGTGTATTGAGCAACGTGCTTTGCACGTTTTTAAGCAAAGGAAGCTCCACGTAGAAGTCTTGGTTCAGGAGAGAGACTAAAGATGCATAAAGCAAAGACCTCTGGTTCATACATTAGAAACCAGATATAGCACTGAAAATAAAGGAAATGTTAGGAAGAATTCATGTCACCAGAGGAGTATTTACCTAATCAGAGGGTTTGTTGTAAGGTCCCTTTAAAGAGTGAGCCCCTGGTTAAGTCTCAGCTGTTGTGAGAGGGCTTTTGAGGAGCACACAGTGCATCCTGGTGAAACCCCGCCCAGCGTTTCCATAAACACTTCTGCTGGGCCTTAGGAAGTGATCTCAAGGTGAACCTCAGCTTGTTCTCAAAGTTTTCCTCCTCTTCTTAAGGAAGAGACATATCTTTACAAGAAAGTAGGTTAACAGAGTGCCGGGGGAACCTCTCGCCGAGGCTGCATCAGGCCCTTACAGCTCCACTCTCCAGGCCACTCTCTTGCGGTGAAAAAAGGCTTTCCTAACCACGTGGAAGAGCCTCTCCGCTGGTCCAGAGACTGGACAGTTACGGGCCATTTCCCTTCTGTGCCCAGCCTGGAGGTGTTCTGTTTCTCTCTAATCTGGTAGAACCATCTTCGTGTACCTGACTGCTAAAAGCAGTGGCTCCTTTTATTGTCACAATAAATGAAAGTAACAGGAGAGGCATCTGCTGTAGACATTTATTAAGTCATGTGTTGCATCAACACTACATTGTATTTCACAAAAGATTGGCCACAGGCAAAATAAAATAAACCACCATGGATCAGCTTTCGGGGGCTTATTTGCTGCTGAATCATCCAACACACACTTTGGCAAACAGACCAGTTGACAGACTTTTATTGCCAATCTGAGGTTCCGTTTCTCTGTGTGGCATTGTGGCAAAGGAGATCCACAATTGTACTTTGGTAGTTTGTGTAAGGTGGAGTTTTCTCACATGTAAACATCTGACTACACCAGTGTGTGCCAGCTGATGAAAGAAGCAATGACGCCCCTGCCGAGCGCACAGCCTAACCCAGCCGATGCCCACACCCAGGCAAGCTGCAGGGGAAGCCGGCGGCAGGTGGGCAGCCCTGTACCCCAAGGAGGAGGGCGCTGGACCACAGCCACCTGCTGAGAAGTGCATCCGCCTGAAGCAGGACCCAGGGCAAATGCTGAGCATTACAGATCTGAGCAGTGGAGGACACTAGCCCCTTTCTCTAAGGCAGCACGTAGCTGTGAAAAAGGCAACCATTAAAATGAGTGATAGTCAGGTTTGGAAATGTTACTAATTTCTTCATTTAAATAAATTGTGTGTCTTGAACTGTGTCATGCTCCTCAAAGCCCAGAAAACAAGGAAAACAAGAAAAGAGCATTCGCCAAGTCGAAGAAACACAAGATCAATGCGCTAATCACGTTATTTCTAAACTGAAGCCAAACAGTGACTCAGCTAACAACACAACACACGTATGGGGTTGGGGGATTAATGTGATTCTGACTCAGTCCCAACGTCCTGCAGAGAAGGGCCCTGTAAGGTAAGAGCGGGTGAGGCTGGCCTCCTGAAACGGAAGTAGGAAGCAACCCCTGCCTTCCCCATCTAAAGAGTAAGGGGGCAAATGTAGCAGCTTTTTATGTTAAAAAAGATTTGTGTCCTCAGCCTCTGGTCAGGGCAGTGCCTGCCCTGGCTCATGAGAGTGGGGACAATGGGAACCACGGACTGAGCCGCAAGGTAAGCCACCACCACGGCGGCCTATGCAGGGGGCCGTCTCTTCCCTCTCCAGCTGCCCTCGGCTGCTAAGGGCATGTTTGTCTGAAGTCCTGTGGCCCATCCCCTCTCCCAGCAAAGCGGTCCGGTGGCCAAAGAGTTAAAGAAAGGGCAGGCTCAAGAGCACAGCTGGGCCAACGCCACATCTCCAGAGCTTCCCAGGGGCCAGCCCCTCCCCTCTCCAGGGGAGCCTCGCTCTGAACACCAACATAGTTTACACATAATATCACTTGCTCCACTGCCAAAGACCAGGCCCCGCCGGCCCACGTGTCGCCTAGGCTAGCAAAACTCCTGGTTTGAATTCAGTTACACAGAGCGAGCTTTGGCTTTGCCAGGCCTGTTGCTGGGGCCCCAGTTTCTCCCACAGCCCCTGGACTCAGCCCAGCACCCGCTGCCTCGACCACTCTCTGACTCCGTTAGGGGTCTGAGCTTCTGCGACCGGGACCGACCACCCAAACACCTATGCAAAGCTGCTCCGTTTGAGGGAGTGACAGGGACAACATGGGCAGGGGTCTGTGCATGACTAACAGGACACTACAGCAGCAGCGAGGAGGCGGGGGCAGAGGCGGCCAAGCCTTGCAGCCTAGAAATTGCTGTTCAGAGAGGCGCACTGCCCCCACCTCCCCGCCCACTCCGGCCAGCCTCCCTGGAGCCGGGAATCCTCAGAGCTGTGCGAAAGAGGAAAGACACCGGGCCTCAGGGGGCCCCACAGGCGGCCCGCCCTCCCCACAGGACCAGAGCAGCCTGTCACTGGGAGCTGGGACTGTCACCCTCTGTCAGTGTCTTGAAGTCCATGGAGAGTGCCTGTTCTTCAGCCTGCGGGGGGCGCTTCCAGTCGGCACGAGTCAAGATGTAGAGCACGACCATGCCAAAGCTGAGCAGCAGCAGGCCCAGAACGTTGGCCAGGACACCCTCGGGCTCGAACGTGCTGTACTTGGCCCTGCAGGGTCAGGGTGGAAGGGAGAAGCCACCCACGGGGTCACCATTAGGCCATGTGTCATTTGCCCCTGAGCCAGAAAGATGCCTCCATCCAACCCCAGCCTCCTCCCTACCCGCCTCCCCCCCCGGCCGCCCCAACTGGGAGAGAACACCACGAGGAGCGGCTACCTCCACAAGGCAGAGGTCCAGGAGGGCAGGGCACTCACCCGAGTTTGAACAGCAGCGCCTCCTTCAGGCCCAGCACGGCTGTGCCCACGGAGAGGAGGAAGATGGAGGCGCCAAAGAAGATGTGCTGGGGGCGATAGCGGCTCCGCAGGGAGAACGAAGCGCCAGGGAACAGGAAGAAGCTAAAGCCCACCAGCCACTAGAAGGACAGGTGAGGTGGGGACTGAGCCAGACTGTCGTCTGACCAACCCAAGGGCACGCAGACAGGCTGCAAACCCCTCCACCCACCCACAGGTTTCCTCCACCTTAAGAGCAGTGCGTGAGGGAGGGGGCACTAAGCACTTATGGAAAAGGTCTTGGCCTTAGGCCTGGCCCATGGAAGGCCTGGCCCATGGCCCAACTATGTGCGCATCAGCTGGAAGGACGCCAGGATCTGGGGCCCCGTTGCCTATGAAGTCCTGGCTCTGTACCCATTTCAGAATCTGAAAGCCACATCCAACTGTACTAAAGTGGCCCTTTCACCTGTGGGCGCACCCCCTGAGAAATGGGCCTGCTGTGGGACACACACAGTTTCAGCCCCCGCCTCCCCCCACCCCTGCCGCCCACGTAGCTGTGAGGCTGGAAGGACTCACCTGCACAAAGTAGAGAACGAAGACAAGGATGCCACACCAGCTATGCAAGCTGTACAGGTCAGTGTAGCCCTTTTTCCTGTGGTAGTCGAACACCGCCACCAGGCCTGGGCCAGAAACAGCGGACATGTGAGGACAGGCTGATGGGGGAAGGGAGCGGGCAAGGTGACCCAAGAGAAACCCGACTAACCGGGCCTTCTGGGCTCTCTTCCCAGCAGCCAGTGTCCCTGCCTGGGATCCTGGAGTCAGGGGACGGGGAGATGGGCGGTGGGGAGTAGGGGAGGCTTCGCCCAGGAACTCACCCACCAGGGCAGTGATGAGAGCGAAGACGTGCAGCAGCCCGTGCAGGACCTTGGTGGTGCGTTTGGCCTCCTTCCTGAAGACGCGGTAAACCAGCAGGGCTGCGGGGACAGGAGGGAGTCAGCGTGCTCCCCCGCCTGCCGGGCACCCTGCCACGGCAGCCCGGGGACACCTGGGCTGAGGGGTGATCTGAGCCAAGGGCTCCTCGGGTGTCCCAGCCGTAGTGAATGCAGGAGAAACCCAGGCTCCACAGGCCTGGCAGGGGCCCTCGGGCCACGTGTGTCCCACCCATCCGACACCGGGTCGGATGTCGTGTGTATTCAGACTTTGTTTTAGGTTCATCATGCAGTCACGCCGCGGTGCCCCCAAGCTTCTGAGCTCCCCTAGAGCTATGATGGTCCTCAAATAGTCCAATCGGGAAGGCCGATCTGATGGTCACACTTTTATAGCCAGCAGGGCAGGGGCCAGCACCAGCCTGCCCCGACCGTGAGAGAGGGCTGCCAAGCCTACCGTTCCTCACCCCCACCGCGCCACACACTCACCTGTTCCCCCAGTTTCAAACGGCCCCTGCCGAAGACAGCTCAGCTCCCACCCCTACCCGGCCTCCTCTCCGTGAAGCCCACACTCCTGGGTGCGCCTTAGTGAAGCAAGAGGTGCAAGAGCTGGGACAAGTTGGAAAGGAGGTGCCACCCACCAACGTCAGGGCCCGTTTGGACTCCCAGTGTCCCCAGGCTCCAAGCCAGCCTCCTCCTCTGACTGTCTTTTCTAGGATCTTAGATCTAACAGGGACAGACCCCCCAGGGTGAGCGGGTCACAAAGTGCCTCTCTGAGGCGCGGGGTCTGGGCAGCTCAGCAGGACTTACCATCTCCCTGCAGGAAGACCAGACCTATGACCATGCACAGGGGGTGCACGTTAAACTGCAGGGCGCTCTCCCAGGCAATGCCGCCCCGGTACAGACCGAGCCAAGCACCAGTCACAGCCACCACGGTCAGGCCCAGCAGCTGGGAGAAAGCCACATAGTAGGGCAGCGTTCCGGGGCTGGGGCTGGCAGGGCTCTCCATGCTGAGGCAGCAGCTGCAGGAAAGACAGCAGAGCTCAGAGGCGCTGATCCCAGCCTCCAGATGATGACGGATCAGCCGGGCCTCCCAAGGCCCAGCCCCTCCACCCCTGCCACCTCCCTCTGCCCCTCTCGCTGCCTGCCGCACTCCCCCACCCTGTGCTAATGCAATAGTGCCGGCTCACCAGCCCCCCTCTGAGACCCCTCCACACCCACCGTCCACTTTCTGAGTCTCAGGAGCAGCTTAGTGGGGGGCGGGGGTGATGGGGCGCTGTCCTGCTCCACGATGACCCCAGTTCCACATGCAAAGAGGGTACAAGTAAAGGTCCTCCAAATTCCTGGGAGAGAGAAGGGCCCAATGACTGTGCTTTACTCTGTTTCCTGAGGTCCTGGGCCTTCTCAGGTGGGGTTCACAGGTGAAATACAGAGAAATGAGCAAATTTCTTAAAGGTACAGGGTCAGTCACATTTTTTCCTTCCAGGTGGATCTGGGGTGAGAAACGGGGAGCCTACCTCCCCCAGGCCCAGTTTTTGACCTCGAAGCTGGAGGGAAGGAGGCCTGCCCAGCCCTGGGCCTGGGCACAGCCCCAGAGGCCTCCGGCAGGATGGGGGAGGAGTGTGCTTGGACCCCTATGCCTGGCGGGACCTGGGGCAGGAGCAGCCAGCAGCTTTCTTCCCTTCCCACCTCCTCCTCTCCCTCCCACCGAGGACAGGCTGGACCTGCCCTCTGTCCTCAGGCAAAGTTTCCAAAACTGAAGGCACCAGAAATGAGACCTAGGAGGCGGGCACCCACCGCTCGGAGCTCATGGGGTATTCCATGCACATCGCTTAACTCACACCGTCCTGTGAGAGAACAAGTGGGTCACTGTGCCCGTTCCACAGTCAGGAAAGGCCAGCTCCGGTGGCTTGGGAAAGCCTTGCTCGGGGGCTGCGTGGAGGGGTGCGTTCCCTGGCTCCTCCGCCCAGTCCCCCGCGGTGTGTCCGCAGCCCCACCCAGGGCCACGCAGGCGTCCATGCCAGCTCTTCACCCTGACTCTATTGGTCCTCCTGGCCCTGGGCCCGGCTCTTCCAGCAGCAGTGAAAACACCCGGCTTCTCCTTCGTTACCAGCAGAGGATGACAGCTGAGCAGAGACAGCTGACCAACAGACTTTGGGGGAGATCACCCCTCTAACACCGAGCACACTCTCTCTGCCCTTCCTGCTCAAGGACTAGTTTCCAGGCGGCCTGGCCTTGTCCTCCTGTGCTCGGGCTCTCTTTAGCCCAGTTCTCTCCACCACTAAAGGCGGGGGGTGGGGGGCGTCAATAACACAGACTCCCTACAGTATAATACAGATGAGCAAAAAAAAAAAAAAAAAAGAAATCGGCCTTTTTATTTATATCCTTACATCCTTTTCTTCTAGAAATGTACATACATTCTTTTATAAAAACAGGATCACACCAATTTCTAACCTGCTTTTTTAACTTAATGATTGTGCATACCTTTTCATTTGTTAAAATTTAGCTAGGCTACTTCACTAAATAGACACTATGTGACCATCTTTGCACACTTGCCTGATTAATTCCTAACTGTAGAAATGCAATCCTGAGAAAAGGGCTTTTTTTTTTTTAGGTTTTTGATACATTCTGTCAAATCATCTTCCAGAAACACTGGCAGGGCAGGAGGAAACACCTGTTTCCAGAAGCCCTAGCAGACAATGAACCCCTACCTGGAACTCTTGCCTCTCTCCTTCTCTGTCACCTCTACACTAGTGACTCCTAAGTCTAGTGCCAGTTCTGTCCTCTCTCCCAAATTCAACCCCCATTTCTCACTGTCCACTGACATCTGTACCTGGACATCCTCAGACAGTCCAAACTCAGCCCATCCAAAGTCACACTCCTCTCCTGACGGCCCAGGTAGCCAGTGCAGCCGTCCTTCTCCTGGTCCCTGACACCTCTGCTGATAGGCCACCGAATCCTGGGGATTCTCCCCCAGGCCTCCCGCCATCGGTCCCTCCTGGCCTTCCTCATTGTCACCATCCAAGCCAGGGCACAGAGCTTCTGCCCCAGCTCTCTAACCTCTTCAGTCTGGCCCACAAGTGTAGCACACAGCTACAGGGACAACGCTGTGTGCCCACAAGACACAGCTGCTCACTCCTTGCCAGCGAAATGCCAGCTCTGTAACATGATCCTCACTCCGTTTCCATCTGCAGCCCAAGGCCCCTCAGCGGAAACCAGCCACTCTTCTGGCTCTAACCCCGCAGCCTGTGTTACTCCCGACAGCTCACACTCCCTGCTCCTGGTGACGGCCCCATCCTCCCCATGACCTGAAGTGGGCATTCTGTTCACATTTTACCCTCCTCCTCTGTGTCCCCAAGGCTGGCCTGGATCTTGCTTACCCTTGTTGGTGTCCTGCCTCGCTGAGCTTGTGCGGGCCTCTCTCCTAAAGCACTCGTGAGCTCCTTGAAGGCAGGGAGCGTGTGCCACTCTTCCTCGTGTGTGCTCGGGGACCTAATGCCTAGCCTGACTCCAACAAGGAAAATGTACTGCAGGGAAATGCTGTCCTCTCCTTTATTAGATTCGCCCCCGAGAGCCCAGGGCAGTCAGAATCTGATTAGCTCTGAATTAGGAAGGACAGAAGCCGCCTGCTCTCCCAGGGCCTGCCACTTCTTTCTGCTCAGTGGGACGAATATCAAGGACAAAGTGGAAGCTCAGGGTGGCAAAGGGCTGTCGCTCCTGGACCTCAGAGCCACTTGGTGGGGAGCCGAGCCAGAGCCAGCTTTTTCCAACCAACCAACTTCTGAAGCAGACAGGCAGAAATCAGAGTGGAGTGGAGATGCCGTGCCGGTGTTTACTGGGAGGACAGGGGACTTCGCGACTAGGGAGACCCTACTTTGTACTCAGCAACTCCCCATTCTCCCATTTAATCTTTGGAATAACACTATGATAACAGTATTATCCCAATTTGATAGATGAGACTGAGGCTCAAAGGGGATAAATGATACGCCCCAATTATCACCAGCAAACAGCTGCTCGCTCAGTTGTTTCCCAAGCACTTCCTACATGCTGGACACACCGCTGCCTGCTGCAACTGCACAGGTAAGTCCCTGCCTTCGTGGGGCTCGTAGGTAAGGTGCAGCGCAGATACAGATTTTAAAGGGAATGGCAGTAAGAATTCAAGCCACGAGCTACACTCAGGCCTCCGAGAGCACTTCACACTGTACACAGGAAGAGCATCTCCCTGCTTTAGTGCACTCGCGTGGCACGCCTCTCTCCATCGCCTGCAGGCAGGCTGGCTGGCTGGCGGCACGGGGACTTTGCTCATCCCAGTGCCCAGTCACTAGGGTAGAGCTGTCCTGCTTTCCGAAATACTGAACGTCCCCGACCCAAAGGGGCGCTGGCCGAGGAAGGGCCCCAGCAGTCCCCCCTCCAGTGCCAGTCCTCCTGTGTCCGCCTCCTCCCTGGCGGGGAGGGGGTGCCGTGCTCCGCAGGCGATTTAAACCCACATCGTCTGAGCACTGGAATCCCTGGGACTCTCCTGGGAGAAAAACAGGGCAGGGTGGGAACAGATGGTTAAGAGAGAAGGGGCAACAGGAGGGTGTGCCAGCTGCAAGATCTTCATGTCGGTTGCTCCAGAGGCCGTTCTCTCCTGGTCCGTGTGGGCTGCAGGTAACCAGGCATCCAGGGCGAAGCAAGAGATAAAAGGCGACCTTTGGAATTACTGAGGCCCAAGCTGTCTCTGACGCCACACTTCCAATTTGAGGGTGATTCTAAGCCCACGTATGAGGGGTGACAGGAAAACACACCAAGCAAGACCAGCCTACCTCCAGCAGGCCTCTGCCTTCCCACCTACGGGTGACCTCACAGTCAGTAAGAGCTAAGCATGAAAATCCAGATTCACAAAAAAAAAACAAAGTAGTGATTGGTTCTGTGTTTTAGAGATGCTGAACTGAAAGATCCCCTCCACAATGGCTTTTCCCCACTGCATATTTGGTTCAACACAATTGACAACTGATCCTTGTGCAAGGAGGGGCTGCTTTTGACCCTGGGCAATTCAGAGAAGACCTTTCAGAAGGCTGGATGGAATCTGACCTACCCGCAATCACACCTGCATTTGAAACCTTACAATCATTTGCGATTCACTCCCGAGTAAGCAAATGTCTTTGGGTCGTGCTCCTCCATTTCCCAACCTGGGCGGCAAGAGCATGCCTCTCGTCCTTCCTGCCTAACTGCGCTGGCCCTCCCAGAGCTCTGGCTGTTCTTGGGCCTCCTGTGTTCCCAGAGCAAAAAAGTGGCCATTTTCAAGGGCCTGGAAGCCGCCACTCTCCATCCCAAAGGTTTCCTTTGCCCAGGAGACCAATCTTCAAACAAGAGGGAGCTCATGTGGCCCCTTACAAGACCACTGTCCTTCCTCTGTCAGAGCACAGGATGTGGGTGACAGATCTCTGGCAGCTCCTGCAACAGTCACTCCTCCCCTCCCACAGCCACCTGAGTCAGACTCCACTTAATGAAATCGACAGGGACAGGAGCCGCCGCAGGGCTGGGGCGTGCTGAGCATCGCTCTCCCTCCCCACGGCCACGGTCTCATTTAGAGATCACCAGGCCTAATCTCATTGCAGGGACCAGACGTGCACGTGTCCTCCAGCCTGGAAGCAGGGGGCCTGGCCACTGCCCTCCTTATCAGCAGCAGAGTTTTAACTGAGTTAGAATGGACTGTGTTGGGGCTAGATCTGGTCTCAATGGGGGCTGGGGGAAGCTCCATCGTCCTAGAATATGATGAAAGAGACGCCAGATGAGGGCTGAGCTGCTAGATAAGGCACTTGCTTATCACCCCACATCCAAGTAGCCCCCCAGAAGAAGGCAGAGCTGCAAGCCATACACTGATCCCAGTCCCGTGTTAGGTACAGGGGACCCAGTGTCAGTGCACCCATTACTCAGAGGGACCCCCCCACCCCCAAAAAGTTTTCATTTCTGTTAAAATCAGGAGGGAAAAATAAACTTTGGGGGTTGAAGGAAATGTTTTTATTTTTAATCCAGCCTGTATTATATTTGTCTTTAGACCAACACAGTTGCAAAATACGAGTTTTATGGAGAAAGGTGTCCACATAGGGCAAAAGTGCGTTGGGCCCCTGAAAGCCATAGTGCAGTCCTGGTCAGACAGATGGGAGTTCGAAGCCAGCCCCGCAGTTTCTGATTGTGCGCTCCCAGGCCAGCCAAGCTTCCGCCCTGCGCCTGCTTCTTCATCCGTAAGGTAGGAGAATACTGAGATCCACCCACTTGACTGGACCGAAGCAAAGATTCAGTGGAATGAATAGACACCTGTGCCTAACACAAGGCCTGGCACACAGTAGGCATCCGATCAATAGCAGGCCAACAAAAACCAAATGTGCTCTTACTAGGAGAAGTCACACATCAAACGCTGTTGACACATGAGGTTTGGAGCTACAGAGAGCGAGGTGGCAAGGAGAGCAAGGCCCCCTCTGATAAATCCGCATTCCCCTCTGTCCCTCATCAGCTGTCCACCATGCAGAAGCCCCCGGATCTGGGGCGATTCCTCCACCAGCGCCTTCTACGACTGAGAACCACTCCCAGCTCCGCCTCCCCAGGGAAGGGTGCAGGGCAGGGAAGTAGTGGGACAAGGAGGGTGGTTCCAGTCTGGGTCCAGGAGGCCGCTCAGCCTGGGGGCGAGGGTGTAGCAGCCCTTTCTCCGTATGGGGCTCACCTTGGCGTTTACAAGTTGCCTGTATTTTCTGCCTCGATCTGATTTCACAAGAGAAGTCAAGGTATCTATAAGAACAGTGGCTAAGATTTTCGGTTCTTTTTTATTTTTTTAATTTGCTCGGAAAATAACAGAAACAGAATCAAGACAACCTGGGATGGAGCCTCACTTAATGTCTTAGAAAACCGTCAGACCACCAAGGTAGAATGAATGAGAGGAGAGGGGCAACCGGTCCACCCAGGGGCGTGGGTGGGGTGCCGGCCCATAATAACCTGTCCAGACTCCAGGGTCCACATGGATCTCCGTGGCATCCCAGGGGAAAGGGCACGCAGGGAGGGGAGGTACCCCTGCTATACCCCCGGGGTCAGAGGCAGCAGCAGATCCCTCAGCTCAGTTCTGCACCCCCTGTTCCCACAGTTCCGGGCCCACCAAAGCCAATCCAAGAAGTCAGGATTTCCCCAATGAGCAAATCCGGTTCTAACGCCAGGAAGCTGAGGATGTTAGAGAGCAAGGGAGGGATCTAGACATGTCAGCCCTGCTACGGGGGCGGGAGGGACAAGCAGGTGGACAGTCTCTGTTTGGGGTTTCAAAAGACCAGTCGCGGGAAACGGTCGTTCATCCACTTCTCTCTGTTTCTACACTACTCCCCTGGCCATAGAACATAGCAAAATATCCGTCATAGGCTCATAGATAAACCTAGGACCACCTGCCCCTCCATTCTGACTTCCGCAGAGACTCGGCACAGAGGTAGCCCTGGGGCCGAAGGCTGACCGCTCAGGAAGGAACCGGACAAGCTCTGTAACCGCAGGCCTCGCTCGGTGCCCCCCCGAGCCAGGAGAAGCAGGTACCAGGAGAGACAGGTGTGGCGGCAGGTGAGGGCAGAGAAAGACTCGCTGCGGCTCCCGGAGCCTGGCCTGTTCAGCGCGCCCGCGGTCCGGGCACACCTGCGCGCGCCGTGCCCCCCCTCTCCGGCCCCCTCCACACACGCACCTGGGCCCCCTCCCCGGCGCCTCGCCGGGACTCCCCGGCCCACCCCCTACCCAAACGGCCTGGACCGCCTACCTGGCCAGGCGCCGGGCCCCGAGCTCGTCCCCACCGCGCCGTGCCGCCCAGGGCTGCTCTGCCGGTTCCGCGAGTCGCGCCGCCCTCGGTGTCACGGCGTCGTCAAGGCGACCGGGCGGTGGCAGCGGGTTGGCCGGGAGGCAGACGACGCGACGAAGGTCAGGCGGGGGCTCGAGGGGGGCCGGAAGTGCGCCGAAGCGTGCCCTCTCTCTGGGCAGGGCCTGGCCCCCAACTGTCCCCGGATCTCGGGTCAGACCCGGGCCCTAATCTGGGCGCCCTCGTGGCAGGGGCTGCGGCGCAGGGCTCTGGGGAGCAAGAAGGCAACCACAGAGACCCGGCCTTCTGGACCCGTGCGCGGGTAACCTTCCAAATCCGGGCCTCGCAACCTGGCTCGTGGGGTCTCCCACGTTTGGGGGCGCATGGGGGCCCTGCAACCCCGTGGGTGTGGACGGGACCCTTCCGGCCCAGGCCCGACTCGGAGGCTGGGGGATGGGCGGCGCAGGGACCGGGCCCAGGCGCAAAGAGGAGGGGTGCGAGCCGGGAGCGCAGCCCTCCCGGGCCGGTTCTCCGCGCTACCAGATTTCCTCCCTTTCTTCCCTCTCACTTTTGGCTCTACCCTCCTCCTCCCCAGGCTCAGGTGGCCACTAGGTGTCAGACACGGCCCGGGCCTTGGCCCACGTTGCGGCCCCCAGGGAGATGTCAATCTACAGGAAAGGTGGATACCCCCCTTCCCAGTTCCACACACGCGCGCGCGCGCACAGTGACGTTTTTGCCCCTTTACCCAAGACTTTGCCTGAGACAGACTTCCCAACCCCTCGGCCCAACCAACCTAAGGATACAAAATCAGTTCTAATCGGCCTCTCATAAAGGCCTGCACTGCCATAGGCAGCCCCCCCGCGCCCACCCCAACTGCTAAATTGGAGCGGGGAGGTGGGGGGGGAGGACGAGGAGAGCGGGGTGCCAAGGCCAAGGTTAGGGTACAGCCCCTGCTGCAGCCCCGTCCAGATTAATTTTCCAGGAAATGCTGTGAGTAGATAACAAGTCCAACGCAGACTTCCCGCAAGTTCAGAACAAAAGGTTCTTTCCTATCGAATGCCTGGCAAGACTCATCAAGGGCCTGAGGGTGGGAGAGAAATGGGGTTGCCCCCCCTGGACAGATAAGTGACCCTCAGCAAAGGAACATCCCTCCCCCAAGCTGCCCCCCCCCCCCGACTCTAGGCTTCCCATGGACAATGGCCAAAGGCTCCTGGAGGGCCCTGGCCCAAGGGAGCCTTGGGGAGTCACACCTCCTTACAGAGAGAATCGACTTTCAGGCAGAAGGCAAATCACCCAAGGATGCCCGCTGCACAAACACAGCTGGGCCCACCCCCTCAGAGGGCCTGAGCTTAAACCCTCCACGCACATAAACTTTGCTGGGGTAGCTTTCCAGCTGAAGGGAGTTCACGGACATTTTAAATTAGGAAACAGCTTCCTCAATACGAACAGGCAAGAAGCAGGCAACAAATGCCTTGTGAGTTGAATGTGGAACTGAGCCATCCCTGGGGTGGGCGAAGCGCACGGAGGAGTAGAGGCTCGCAGGGAACGCCCAGTGGATGCTGGCAGCCCCTTCCAACGCCAGGACAGAGCCTCCTGCTCGGGTGGGACAGGGCCTTTTAGGTCCTTCCAGGTCCCACACACACCCTACCACCACCCCTGGCCGCCGCCCCCACGGCTATGCAGGTGCTCCTGGGGTCTGCCTAACGTGGAGAGAGGGTGGAGGTGGCTCTCTGAGTGAGGCAGGCTGCCTGCACGGGAACCAGCTGCAAGGAGTCTTAGCGCCAAGGCCTCATGGCTCCACCCAACCATTTCAAAGAGCAGGCGATGCCACCGCACTGCAGTCAAGTACGAGGGTCCGTGGCTTGGCCCCCTGTTCCCAGAATCCTCAACCCAGGATGGCAAACACTCTCCCTTCCTGCCCCCTCCCTGCTGCTGAGACTCCTGCCTTCAGGCCACCCTTCAGCCAGGTGGGGGTGGGCAAGGAGAGCGACCTCAAGGCCCCTTCTTGGGGACCTAGGATGTGGCCCGGGAAGTTTTCCATGCAAACTCCTCCCCTTGCATTAGCCCTTCTGCTTTTCAGACTCATGAAGTTCGTTCCCACCTCTCCTCTGGAGCACCCCTCCCCGCTCAACCATCTGGCCCATCTCCGCAGTGGAGGTGCCCTCTTCTCCGAGGCCTTCCCTGACCCTCCAGCCCAGCGGCTGGGGGCGGGGTTGAAATGCAGGGAGAGACCCTGGATTGAGAGCCCCAGTGACAGTTTTGGGAAACCAAACCTTGTGCTCACCCTGTTTTTTAGCCAAAGGCATTTAAAGAGCAATAAGAAGGAAGACAGTGAGCAGAATGTACCAGGGACACAAGTCCTCAGATCCCCAGCACCTGGCTCGCCATGCCTGCCCTTGCTAAGGTCTCCAGGTTTAGAAAGAAGGAAAAATCCAGGAGGCCCAGTTAAATTTGAATTTAATATTTTTTTGGCATAAGTGTGTCCCACATGTTACATGTAATGTACCACAAGTGTATTTGTGGTTTATCTGAAATTTAAGTCTAATTGCGTGTTCTGTATTTAGCTGGCAATCCTACCCCTGTTCCTGTGCATGAGTGTGGGGAGGACAGGAGAGAGGCCCCTCCCAGCGCAGCCTCCCGCCCCCGCAGGCTGAAACTCCCCGTTAACTCCTACTGGGCACGTGCTTCAGGCAGAGGCCTGAACCTCAGGCCACGGACAACACCAAAGGCATAAGAGGTGTCCCCAGCCCTAAGGCCGTGTAAGATGCAAACTCACAGAATTTGTTCATTCTTTACAACAGCTCTATCCAGTCCCTTCCAGGTGCCAAATGCGGGACGACACCGGGGATGTAACATTGACTGTGACAGGCACAGCCTTATTCTTCCTGGTGTTAAGTGTCAGCACTTAAAAACGGTGCTTAACCCAGATGTGAGGGTCAGGGAAGGCTGCGGGGGCATGTGGCATAGAATCACAGAGCTACAGGATGAGCAGGGGTTAACTTGGCAAAGGGACAGCTGGGAGTGGGCAGGAGTGTTCCTGGCCAAAGAAACAGCCCAGGGAACAAGAGCACGGTGTGCTGGGAGGAAGCGCGCGAGACCTCACCAGCGAGTGCGCCCTTGGTCGCCTCGCCGGGGCCACTGCCTGGATCAGCAAGGCTGCACCAGCTCAGGGAGGTGGCCTTGCCTTGGCAAATAAATAATCCAAAGACACGTACCCTGACCAGTATGCAGAGAGCCTGAGGAAATTGCTCCAACCTCCTTGAAAAGAAAACTATTCTAAATAGGAAAATGCATGGCTACTTGAATGAGCTTAAAATGGAACTCCAGTCGCTCAGGGAGAAAACCTGTCTTCCAGCTTCAGGGGGAGCTGCGGTGGCCAGAAAACAGCAGCCCCAGTAGGAACAGCCAGAGCATCCAGCAGAGCCGCAGCGATGGTGGCAGGAGAGGCAGTGAGGCCGGGGATTGGCCACAAAACTTCCTGAGTCACGGATGAAGACAGTGAGTCACCTGGGACATCCAGAATTTGAGGGGATTGGGCTGAGGGAAATAAATGGTTGTGTGTCCCAAGCTGACCCCGAGGCTGGTCTGGTCTGGGAAAACAAGACCAACAGGAGAGACCCACCTGCCCGTGAGCCAAAATACCGCCGCGGGATGGCTGGAGAAGCAACAAGAACCAAGACGGTCGGGCCAGCTTTCACCTCTGCCAAACCCCCCGGGGAACAGGCTGAGAGATGCATGAGCAGGGGGGGACCAGCCTGGTGCAGGAGGTGGCGAGGAGGCAACAAAGGGGTGGCTTTTCCCGAATTCCCAGGACAGCTCTAGGGGCCAGGGAAGGGTCAGAAGGAAGTTGGTTTCTTTCCCTCCCTCACGCCCTTTCTCAAGTCCTTCCATTCTTTCAACAAAGGTTTATCGGCCACTTTCTTGTGTTAGGCCCTGTTCTAGGCCCTGGAGGGACAGTGATTGGAAAGCCAGACAAGGTCCCAGACAAGGTAACTTATACGAAGTGGGGGCGACAGGTCATTGAAAAGTAAACAAACAACATATATACACACATCCAAATGCACACACACATACACAGAAACCTAACCACACGTAGCAACAAGTGCATGAAGAAAATAAAGCAGGAGAGAGGGTTGGAGCATCGGGGGAGGGAAGTTTATTGTCGGGGGTGCTGGGGAAGGCTCTCTGCGGAGAGAGGCGTTGGGCTGCAGCCAGGAAAACCTGGACGGAGGCAACTCCAGCGAGGGAAGAGGATGGAAGGGCGTGATCCCCGAGGCAGGGATGTCCGTGCCCCACCATCAACACGCCTCTTTCCCCAGCGTGGGAGAAATGTGTGGCCCAAAGCAGGAATGTAAACACGTCGTCAGAGAGGCCAGAGGTTGGACAAGTGAGGTGTGGAGCAGGGACGCCACCAGTGGCTCCTGGAGCACCCAAGTGTCCATAAGCCCGTCATTAGAGTTGTGCCGGGCCACCACCATGTCCCATCACGCTCTGCAGAATCTGGACATTGGGTCACAGTCAGTGGGGCACTGCCAGGCCATCCGGCCCAGAGGGTTTTTGCCCTGTGGCTGGTGGAGCAGCCGGAGCAGGAGGCATCGGCCCCAGCATCACACTTGCGGGGGGCCAGCTGTCCCCTCCGGGAAGGAAATCCTGAGGAGGTTGTGTCCCAGTCTGTCCTCAATCCCTCCCTCCCTGCTTTTGCTCCCTGCACGCTCTCTGCACGGTGGAGAGCAAGAAACACCCAAGGGAGCCAGAGTGTGCAGCCGGGGGTGAGGGCGTGGCCACAGCCTTGGGTGGTGTCAGCAGAGGCTGGAGAGGGAGCCGGCAGAGCTGCTGATATTGATAGACATCTAATCACTTCCACAAACCAGCCACAAATGGCACAACAGGGACTTCTGCCCTCTGTTCAAAGCTTATGACAGCTCTGTGTTCTCATCTTGGGTCCTAAAGCCATCCCAGCTCAGCCTGGTTCTCAGCCAAGCCTCTTGTGCCAGGGTTGCAGCGAGGAAGTGGTGGCC